GGGGGGGGGGGGGGGGGGGGGGGAAGGATATGTTTTGAGTTTCATGACTTTAAAAACAAAATAGTCTTTCTCAGAAAAACAGATCAACACAGACCAAATTTTACGTACAATTACAGGGGTTTATGATTCCCCTGAACTTGGACCTCAGTTTAACCTTTGATATAGACCAACCAGTTTCTGTGAGAAATTCTTAGTTGTCCTGAAAGAAGTGAGAAGCTTATACAAGGAGGAGAGAGAGCTATAACGTGTTGGGAACTTTACTGGACTGGGAGTTAGGAGACCAAGGCTTGAATTCTGGCTCTACCAGTTAGACTCTGGCAACCCGTTCACCTCTCTGACTCTTGTCTCCTTCATCTAAAATGTAAGCATAACAATTAATGCCTAATCTTCCAAGGTTGTTGTGAAAATTAAATAACATAATCATACCTAACCTATAGGAGGAACTCAAGAAATGTTCCATATAAGAACAAGTGATATATATGCACTGAGAGAAAGGAGCTGTCATTTACTGAATGCCAACTACTTGCCAAGCAATATACTAGGTAACTTATGTGCATTATTCTACTTTATCCTCAATGACCATCTTTGTAAAAAAAAATATATATATATATACTCACACACATATTTATTTATTCTTGTAATAGCTTTATGGAGATATAATACACATACCATACAGTTCACTCATTTAAAGTGCATAATTCAATGGTTTTTAGTATATCCACAGAGTTGAACAATCATTATCACAATCAATTTTAGAGCACTTTCATCGCCCTCAAAATAAACCCAATACCTTTTAACTACAACCCACTATTCCTCAAGCCCTCAGCCCTTGGTAACTACTAATCTACTTTGTATGTCTATGGATTTGCCTATTTGGACATTTTATATATAGTGACTCATACAATATGTGGTCTTTTGTGACTGGCTTCTTTTTTGCTTCACATAAAATTTTCAAAGTTCATCTATGTTATAGAACGGATCAATAGTTCATTCCGTTTTATGGCTGAATAATATTCCATTGTATGGATATACCACATTTTATTTATCCACTCATCATTTGATAGACATTTGGGTTGTTTATACCTCTTGGCTATTATGAATAATGCTGCTATGAACATTCATGTACAGATTTTTGTGTGGAACAGCCACCTTTGAGTGTCATTACTTCATTTTCCCAGATGAGGGAACTGGGAGGTAAATCAGGTCTCCCTTCTTCACACAATCAGTAAAATGCTGAGCTGGGATTTGACACATAAGGTGAAATGAGAAAACCTATCAAGGACACAAAGCCAGATTTTGAGAGCGAAGGGTTCAGGACAAGCTTTATGAAAGAGGAGGCATTTAGGTTGAATCCTATGGGATAGTAGGAACCAGCCAAGAGAAAATCTGGGGGAGGGAAGTCATGGGAGAAGGCAACAGAGGGAGCTGATGGCACGTAGGATTGAGGGACCTGGACAGGGTGGAGCACAGAGTGGAGAAGGGAGCCAAAGAGAGATGAGATGGGTAAGATTGACTGAGGCCAGGTCATGGAGAATATGAAGACCATGGCAGAAAATTTGGGTTTTATCCTTTAGACTGTGGGAAGTCATTGCATGGTTTTAAGTCATATGCTCACACTGTATCTTCTTCCTCTTTTTTTTTTTAAAGATTTTATTTTTCCTTTTTCTCCCCAAAGCCCCCCTGGTACATAGTTGTGTATTTTTTTTTTAGTTGTGGGTCCTTCAGGTTGTGGCATGTGGGACGCCACCTGAGCATGGCCTGATGAGCTGTGCCATGTCCACGCCCAGGATCCGAACGGGTGAAAACCTCAGCCGCTGAAGTAGAGTGCGCGAACTTAACCGCTCGGCCATGGGGCCAGCCCCGCTCACACTGTATCTTCTAAAGACACCTCTGGTTATAGGCTATAAGAACAACAGGAAGTAATGAACCAACAGAAAAAGAACTCAAGAATACAATACCATTCACAATCGCAACAAAAAGAATAAAATACCTTGGGGTAAATTTAACTAAGGAAGTGAAGGACCTATATAATGAAAATTACAAGGCCTTTCTGAGAGAATTGGATGACGACATAAGGAGATGGAAAGACATTCCATGTACATGCATTGGAAGAATAAACATAGTTAAAATGTCCATGCTACCTAAAGCAATCTACAGATTCAACGCCATCCCAATCAGAATCCCAATGACATTCTTTACAGAATTAGAACAAAGAATCCTAAAATTCATATGGGGCAACAAAAGACCCCGAATTTCTAAAGCAATCCTGAGAAAAAAAGAACAAAACGGGAGGCATCACAATCTCTGACTTCAAAACATACTACAAAGCTACAGTAATCAAAACAGCATGGTACTGGTACAAAAACAGGTGCACAGATCAATGGAACAGAATTGAAAGCCCAGAAATAAAACCACACATCTAGGGACAGCTTATCTTTGACAAAGGAGCTGAGGGCATACAATGGAGAAAAGAAAGTCTTTTCAACAAATGGTGCTGGGGAAACTGGAAAGCCACATGTAAAGGAATGAAAATTGACCATTCTTTTTCACCATTCACCAAAATAAACTCAAAATGGATCAAAGACCTAAAGGTGAGATCTGAAACCATGAGGCTTCTGGAAGAAAACATAGGCAGTACACTCTTTGACATCAGTATTAAAAGGATCTTTTCGGACACCATGCCTTCTCAGAGAAGGGAAACAATAGAAAGAATAAACAAATGGGACTTCATCAGATTAAAGAGCTTCTTCAAGGCAAATGAAAACAGCATTGAAACAAAAAAACAACCCACTAACTGGGAAAAAATATTTGCAAGTCATATATCTGACAAAGGCTTAATATCCATAATATATAAAGAACTCTCGCAACTCAACAACAAAACATCAAACAACCCAATCAAAAAATGGGCTGGAGACATGAACAGACATTTCTCCAAAGAAGATATACTGATGGCCAATAGGCACATGAAACGATGCTCATCATCGCTGATCATCAGGGAAATGCAAATCAAAACTACACTAAGATATCACCTTACACCCGTTAGAATGACAAAAATATCTAAAACTAATAGCAACAAATGTTGGAGAGGTTGTGGAGAAAAAGGAACCCTCATACACTGCTGGTGGGAATGCAAACTGGTGCAGCCACTATGGAAAACAGTATGGAGATTCCTCAAAAAATTAAAAATAGAACTACCATACGATCCAGCCATCCCACTACTGGGTATTTATCCAAAGAGCTTGAAGTCAGCAATCCCAAAAGTCCTATGCACCCCAATGTTTATTGCTGCACTGTTTACAATAGCCAAGACGTGGAAGCAACCTAAGTGTCCAGCAACAGACGAATGGATAAAGAAGATGTGGTACATATATACAATGGAATACTACTCAGCTGCAAAACAGAACAAAATCATTCCATTTGCAATAACATGGATGGACCTTGAGAGAATTATGTTAAGTGAAATAAGCCAGCGAGAGAAAGATAATCTGTGCATGACTCCACTCATATGAGGAATTTAAAATTATGGACTAAGAACAGTTTAGTGGATACCAGGGGAAAGTTGGGGTGGGGGGTGGGCACAAAGGGTGAAGTGGTACACCTACAACAAGACTGACAAACATTAATGTACAATTGAAATTTCACAAGATTGTAACCTATCAATAACTCAAAAAAAAAAAAAAAAGAACAACAGGAAGCCAGGAAGATAGAGGAGGGAAGATGGGATGTGTCTTTCTAAGTAAGAGAAATACATGATATAGAGGGGGGAAACCTCAGAGCTTTTGGGGAAACAGTGAGTATATTAGTTTCATTTGATCAGGCTTGTTTGATGTCAGAAAGATATTTGGAATAAGGAAAGCTCCTGCGTGGCTTCAGTGCTTCTGGCCTAGATATCAACAACTCCTGAAGCCTTCCCTAACCACCACTCCTCTTGCTTCCATAGCATTCTGGGCCCACTGCTATTCAAGAACTTATCACAATGCATGGGAGTTGCCAGTTATATGACTGTCATTCTCACTAGGCTTGAGTTCTGTGAGGGCAGACACTATATCTTGTTCCTCATCATATCCAAACCATATGGAGAACAATATGAGGCCCGGCACACTGTATATGCTCAATAAATATTTGTTGAATGAATGACTTGATCTTATAGACAAAGGAAGTGTCTGTGACTCTTTGAGATGAAGTACTGTGAAATCAAGCAGTGCTTCATGGAGATTAGTTTAGATGCATGGGCAGGACAGAACAGAAGAGGAGGAAACACTGAGAGGAAATGAGCTAAGAAGTTGTTGCCGTACCCCAGATGTTAAGTGCTTGGGACACAGTGGGTAACAAGATGGACATTGTTCCTGCTCTCACGGAGTTTATAATCCAAGAGGGAAGACAGATGGAATTACAATACAGGAAGCAATATGCCTATTACAAGGCCATGTCCCTGGTTACTCCAATGCCCCAAAAGGGAAACAGCAGACTTAGGGTATTATGACATAGTGGCTAAAAACAAGGGACCAGAGAGAGTTGGCTTCACTCCTTGCTCTTCTACTTATTAGCTATGTGACTTGGGCAATGACGTCACATCACCTCTCTAGATCTCAGTTTCTTCAGCTGTGAAAATGGAATGACAGACATTACGTAAGATTATTTGGTGGATTAAATAAGATAATATACATAAAATGCTTAGCACTGTACCAGGCACATAGTAAGCACTCAACAAATGTCAAGCTGTCACCATTTTAGCCCCTGAGTTGCTACAAGGAAGGAAGCGATCTAGGATATGTCTGATCTCAGAGATCTATATACTGATCTATTTACAGTATGTGATACTCAGTTACTGAGAACCAAGAGATCTAGGCAATGCAAGCAGTAGCTGTGTGACCTCAAACATATCATTTAACCACCCCCCGGGGGTTTTATCTCCCTCCTGTATAAAATGAGAGGGTTGAATTGAAGGATCCTTAAGATTCTAAGTTTAAAAACAATTTTGGAGTTGTTTCCAATAGGTATCAAGATATTACAAGTTGGTACCTTTGTCACACATGGAACATTGAACTTGATGTACCACAGTCCTGACCCATGTGACATTTCCTATGTTGATTTGAGGACAATGTTGTGGATCTCAAAGCTGTTGGTCGTAGCATATACTCTGTTAAGACTTCTATAGGAGTTATTCATGTATGTGTCTGTCCTTCTCTACTAGACTAAAGGCCTCTGAAAACAGGGTCTATCTTCATATTCCTAGGACCTAGTGTAGCTCCTAGAATTGATAAATGTTTGTTGAAGGAATGACTAAAGTAAAACAGTAAATAACTAGACAATTGAGAGCAGTTATAGCTCAAGCAAAGACATAAACTATTAGAAATTAGGCCATATAATCTAGTGATTCTACTTTTGACAAAATTTGAAAAACAACTCATATGGCTTGGAAATAATCGCCTTTCTGAGAGCAAACAAGATGCAGGTCTTGCGCTCATAGTAATAGTACCCAACAGGCAGGATCTACTGTGAAGTATCCTGAGAAGAAACATCTAGCAGGTGATACAAGCCAGGGAAGAAAGCAAGCAGCCTCTATCCTGGATTCAGACTGCAACTCCGCTCACTGAAGTCCCTCTTGCTGACTTCTTCACCAGCCAGACTCTGGACCTTGTCTGAACCTATCCTGTTTGTTGCATCTCTCTGGTCTTGGCTACTTGTCTGCTTGCATTTTTGTAGCATAATTGCTTTTCTCTGACTCAGATGTTCTCCTTAGGCTTGACTCATTGCCAGATTGGACTAGCTTCACTTTACCTCTCTTAGCCTCAGATGTGCTCATCTCTCAGAGGGGGCTAAAATAATACATGGCAAACAGAGTTGTTGAGAATGAGACATATGTGTGAAAACACTTAACATTCACTCATTCTCAAATATTTATGGAGCACCTGTCCATAGATACAATGACATATGAGATACAATCCTTGCCCCCCAGGATTGCTGCTGAGTTGATGAGAGATGAAGCAGAAAGGCAATGACAATGCAGTGTGTTAAGGAAGAAGCTATGAAGCATGCACAAATTGCTTTGGGATCACATGGGATGAGAGTGTTCAATAAAAGCTGACCCAATGAAGAACAAAGCTGGCCAAGAGCAGTCTCAGGGTCTGCTGCCCTGGGGTGCAGCCAGTGAGCCTCTTTGCCACAGTCCAACATGAGGCCAAGTGCAGGCTACAGTATGAAGAAGATGAAGGGAAAAGAGACCACAGCATCCTTAGCAACCCAAACTTCATAGTAAGGACCTGATGAGAAGCCCATGTTACCTCTCCTCTGCGAATCTGGACGCTCCTTATAATGCGCTCTAAGAGGCCAACTTGCTGTGTGAGCCGGAGACTGTTTTCCTGTAATTGCTTATTTTCTTTATCCAGCACAAGTACTCTAAGAATGGGATAAATTGGGGTCATCACCAAAAATTTCTGTATCATTACTAAAACACAAAACTATGTCCCACTTCCCACTAGTTCTGGGTCTTAGCCCAGATTTTAGAACCAACTTTGGCAGACTAATTCCCATCATATTCCAAGACCAAGTAAAAATTAATAAGTTTCTTGCCTGTACATAGTCATTAAATACATCCCGAGAACAGAGACATACTATATGCAAGAATATGAAAGGAACACTTCCAGCCCCTGAGAAACTTAAGGAAGGAAATGAGCCCATTTAGGGGTAGGGCTGAAACAAGAGACTGCATCCCTTCAGATATTGTAGCTACACGGCCTGCTTCCGGTTCTGATCTCACACAGGCATCCCGTACTTCTGTAGTAGTAGTAGTAGTAGTAGTAGTAGTAGTAGTAGTAGTAGTAGCAGCAGCGACCATCCACCAAGTACTACCATGGACTTGGGCTTAGTCTTACCATGGTAGCCTTACCAAGGTCCACTTACCACGGACCAAGCACCACCGTGGATAGGTTACCATGTAACCTTTCCACACAGTAAGCACTTAAAACTTTTCATGCATTAGTTCATTTAATCCTCATGACAACCCCATGAAATACTGCTATGAAGCCTGTTTTACAGATGGGGAAACTGAGGCTCAGAGAGCGGAGAGTAACTTGTTGAAGAACATAAAACCAGAAAGTCATAGAGCTGGGATGCCAACGCAGATCCTTCTGACTTCTAAGCCTAGCCCTTAACCACTATACCAGGCTTTCTCTCCAGGGCCACAGTTTATTTGGAACACATAATGACAATATGATAGTTTTCATCAGAGATTTGTGTTTGAGTTCTGGTTCTGCCAATTACTAGCTGTATGACCCTTGGCAAATTACTGAATCTGAGCCTCAGTTCCCTCATCTGTAAAACGAGGAAACATCCCGTAGAAAAAACTTATTCTAAGGAAAACATCCACGTCCACTCTGGGTGACGAGAGTGGGTCTTCAAGGAGGGCAAGACAGGAACATTATTAATGTTAAGACAAGGGTAACGAGTCAGTTGTGTTGGGATGCCAGAAGCAATGACATAGTTTGAGAAGGTTAATGGATTATATAGACTATACAAAAGAGGAGACACAGACAATAAAAGATAATCAGAGACTGTCGCAAAGCAGCGGAAAGGAGAGTTCCTGTCTGCCTGGCAGATGTCTCCCCAGACTGCGGTGCTGTAGTGTCCAAGGCCAGGCTGCTGACGTCCACATGCTGCTCTGCCACCGACTAGGCTGACTGAGTTAACTAAATTCTCTGGACCTCAGCTTCTCATCATGAAATAAGGCTATATAGTGCCTCCCTCCTGGGATTGGTGTGAGGATTAAATCAATATAGAGGGAGAGCTTAGAACAGTGACTAGCGTATAGTAAGTGCTCAAAAAAATGTTAATCATTATAGTTATTGTTAGTGATACTATCTGTTAAGATCAACCCACTCTCTTTGCTCTAATTCTATACTCCAAGAAAACTGTGACTGTAATTAAAGGTTCTTATAGAGGAGAGAATGCTTGGGCTGGCTGATATGTGAATTTTTATCTGCTGGGCATATTTCTCATGAGAAATTAATATACTGGTATCTTGTAAGTTTAATGAATTTAAGTCACTCATATGGCCTGATGAGACCTCTCTTGATCTACCTTGATTCTATAGGTATCAAATGACAAAGATGAGTGTCAACACACACAAAGTGACAGGCCAGAACAAGCATAGATGGGTCCTCAGGGAGGCAATGCCACCTGAAAGAGCCTATCTGAATGGTCGACCATGATATTTTTCTCTTTAATTTCACAACTTCTGCCACTTGTATGAACTGCTGAAAACAGCAGATGGCAGAACAAGAGCTGTGAGATAGGCCACAAACTCAAAGGACAATCTCTGGGATGATTGCTTTGTTGAGGGAGAAATATCCTCTTTGTGGGGTTCACTGGCAACTCGGAGCTGACAGCACCTACCTGCTCTGGACTGAAGACATTATCCATTTGTTGCTGTGGATCAGTTCTTCTTGCTCTGTGAGTTGCTCCAGAAGTTTCCTATTTTCTAGGAGCAGGATATTATTTTGGGCAGTGATCTGGTCCTGGAATGTCTTCTCCTAGGGATAACAAAGCCCCCTAATTACCATGGTGGGAGAAAGCATTATAAATTTAGGAGCATCAGCCTGTTTCTATGCTCTGACAGCAAATTTCCCTTGTTTACTTTTTCTCTCCTGTCCTCTAGTCTGTTTTCACTTGTTTGCTGACATTGTCCACCAGCTTGTTCTTCTATTTATTTTGGTTATTTTATGTCACGTAAATGTTTGGACATTTACTCATTCTTTAGGGTTAACATTTAAAAATATCTGAGCACTCAACTTTCAATAAAGTCCCAGTGCTCTCATCTGTATTCTAATTCCGTAGATATCAAATCACTAACAAATACAACTGAATTCTCCAGATTGAAAAAAGTTTCCATATAACACATTTCCGTCTGCTTTGGAGTTATAGTCTTTTTAAGGCAAAGGGAGGAAGATGGGAATTTAGCCAACTCACTCAACAACCAGAGTCAAGATCTCAGTTGGCTTGGCAAGTCAAGCATCTAAGCCAGGTACTGTGAATATCTTTGCAGTGATGATGCTGAAATGATTTTGAGGTTGACACCATGTTTCATTTTCTACCAACGACTTTACCTGAAAGCAATAGCTAGTGAAGTTATAGCTAAAATGATAAAGGAGTGTATTTTGTGAAAAAACACTAAGTGTTATATTCAGTCAATAGATATTAGTAAATCGCACTGTTGGTGAGGAGTTTAGAAGCTCAACAGTGTAGAATTGCCCTTCTCCCTTCACCAATGACCCGCCAATGGTAACAGGCAACTGCCTTCACCTTTCAGTGTTTGTTCCTCACCAGCCAAGGGTGAAAATGAGTGGGAGTGGGAGAAGAATAAGGACCTCTGGCAGACAGGTGAATTACAGGGTTAAGAGGGGCAACTTTCTCTCTCTCTTTTAAATAAGGTACTAATGTACAGCATTCAGAAAAAACTGTCCCTATATATGGAATCTAAAAAACCCAAAAGACTCCTAGATACAGAGAACAGAATGGTGGTTGCCAGAGGCAGGGGGTAGTGGGGTGGGCAAAATAGGTGAAGGGGATCAAAAGGCACAAAATTCCAGTTATAAAATAAGTAAGTCATGGGGATGTGATGTACCAGCATCTTGACTCTAGTTAACAATACCATATTGCTTATTTGAAAGTTGCTAAGAGAGTAGGTCTTAAAAGTTCTCATCACAAGAAAAAAAATGTTGTAATTATGTACGGTGATGGATGTTAACTAGACTTATTGTGGTGATCATTTCACAATATACACAAATATTGAATCATCATGCTCTATATCTGAAACTAATATATTATATGTCAATTATATCTCAAAAGAAAGAAAGGAAAAAGACTGCCTACTTATCATTAAAGAATTATAAGGAAGGAGATTATGTTATGTTCTGAAACAAACCATTCCAGATTTTAAAGTTCTTTATCCAGGACCCTTCGATGTCTAATAATAGTCTCCTCTGCCATCATTTGAATATATTTATGGTAAGGATTGAGAGTAGGAGCAGCCGTCCCACAAACATGCTCTATGCAGCCATAACTGGATTAGAAAGGAAATTGGATGGGGCAGGCTACTGACACCCCGTTCTTCAGAAATACTGTATTTTTTTTTTGAACCAAAAATTCAGGACACAGCTCTAATGATAGGGTGAAATATTTAGGGGACTCTGGTCTGGATGGTCACAGCAGTCAGAGGACTCGATCGGCTCACCGTATAAAGAGAAGGTGGAAGGAATGGAACCCCAAAAAGTGGCATTATGGTCTGGAGACTTAGCATTTAGAAAGTAAGCCCAGCTTTTTTACACTTAGGGTTCTGGTTCATCGGCCCTAAAATAGTAAAATCAGGACCTCCAGGTGTGTACCACTGTGGCATTAAAGATCTCGCGTCAGTTTTCTCTAGGCTAAGTATTTCCCATTCTGTTCACAATTTCTCTTGTGAATTATGCATCTACCGATTAACATGTTTCTAAGAGATTTTACATTAAAAAGAAGAAAATAACATCTATGAAAATTTATATGTGCCAGATACCACTTTAGGCATTTCATATTTTAATCCTCACAAAAGCCTTGTGAATTAGGGATTGTTTCCCACATTTTACAGATGAGGAAAATGATACACAGGGACTTGTGCAAGGTCACAGAACTATTAAGTGGCAGGGCTAGACTTTGCATCCAAGTCTGTCTAAGGCCAAAGTCCACAGTACCCTTCAACGGTAGTGAGCAAATGGTCCAAAGACTCTTCTTAGCCTCTGCTTCTTTGCGATCTCCAGTATATTTCAGGGAGACCTGTGGTTCTTTGGGTAGATGTGTTAGTTTCCTAAGGCTGCCATAACAGATTGCCACAAACCGGCGGCTTAAGACAACAGGAATTTGTTTTCTCACAGTTGTGGAGGCTAGAAGTCTAAAGTCGAGGTGTCAGCCGGGTTCATTCCCTCTGGGAGCTCTGAGGGACAGTCTGTTCTATGCCTCGCTCCTAGCTGTGGCTGCCAGCAATCCTTGGTGTTCCTTGGCTTGTAGCTTCATCACTCCAATCTCTACCTCCATCGTTACATAGCCTTCTTCCCCTGTGTACGTCTGTCTGTGTGTCTTCTTCCATCCTATAAGGACACTAGTCATGTTGGATTTAGGGTTCACTCTAATCCAATATGACCTCATCTTAACTAATTATACCTGTAAAGACCTTATTTCCAAATTAGGTCACATTCTGAGGTTCTGGGTAGACATGGATTTTGGGGGGACGCTATTCAACATGGTACAGTCCGGAAGAAAGAAAACATGGACGCTGAAAGTAGGAGGCAGTTTTGCCACGTAAGCCTCGAAGTGGAAGGCAGGCACTACGAGGAAGAATTGGTAACACAGAAGTAGGCTGACGACATTTCTGGCGGGTCCATGAACCAGGGTTGCTACTTTCTTCTGTATACTTTCCATATTGTTTTCCTAGTTGTGAGTCTAACCTGGATCTGAGTCTTTCAAAGTTTAGAGGATTAGAGACAAGATAGAAGGAGACTGCAAAATCTAACTTATTTTCCTCTCTCACTACAGTTTAGAGTATCAAGAGGGTTTTTTTTAAACAAGGAATACAACATTGGTGGCCCATCTGTTCCAATCCTCAAACGTTTCATTGTGTGGAATCCAGGGATTCTTAACCTGGAGTCCCATAATAGCCTGTGGGATAACTGAAATTATGTGAATTATTTTGGTATCCTTGGCACACAGTGGTGGTGCAATAAAAATTTGTTGGGTGTAGAAATGAGTATTTTAGGAGTGAAGACAGAGTTTTCAAAATTCTGAAATGGGCTGGGGACCTCAAGAAGGGAAAACGGTACTGGCCAAGTCAGTGGCTCTCTATTTTGAGTTTATATAGTTTAAGAATCTCAAGACCATTCTGCATTTGATTTGATTCATCTGACCGTTTCCTTCTTAGCCACACACAGTCACAAGGGCAATGAGACAAACATAAAGAAACTATGGATATTTAGAAAAGAGCTTGAAGGCACTCATCAAGGATTGATAGAGGAATGGGGGTCACCTATTTTCACTGCCATTTAAAACTGACAGAAGTTTGAGGCAAAATGAGGGCCGCACAGAGTAGGAATGAGTTACTGAGGGTGGTTTGGAAGTCTCTGCTGAAGGGTGTTTAAGAGAAGATGTTTTCATTTGAAGGCAAAACACTAATCATAAGCTGGCAGTGCAGATATTTTCAGTGTTCAACTTGGTTTACTACCACCATGAGTCTTACGTATTTTTTGGCAGGGCTTAAACAATTACTCACATTGAAAGGAGGTGCGGAGAAATGAAAGTATGGGCTATGAAGAGGCCATAAAATAAATTTTAAAAATGAGTGGGCTTTCTCTAAATGATCGACCACTGGCACCGTCAGTGAGCTCTTTGCCTTTTTGTTTCTCACCATTTTCACTTGTTGCTGCAGTGTTCCAATTTCATTTTCAAGTTGTTTGATTCTCTCATCTCGTAGTCCTACTTCATGCACTAAACGATCCTTGACTCTCCGAAGCTTGGCTTTGTAGTGCTGATGTTTCTCATTATAGTTTCTAGAAAATAAATTTAAATATGGGCACACCTCAACACAGTGAAAATTTATTTTACCTCCTCAATAGGAACCTTTCTTGGGTTTCTTCTTCTTGCTTTGTCAGGGCCTGGCACCAGATGTGGGCGCTTGTCCTGCCTCACATCTGCAGGACTTCCTGCCTACAAGGTGGGGAATCGACCAAGGATAACCTCCTAAATAACACCAGCTTTAGTCATCCTCAACTCAGGAAATTGCTTGACTTATGATCCCTGACATCTATCCTCTGAATCCTGCTCCACTGATTCAGTCACTAATATAAAATTTTCTAGTTCTTGGCTATATACTTGGACAGTGATATAACCCACTTCAGTCTTGTCTATTTTCCAGATAACCTGGTCTGCTCTCAGTCCTTGCCTTGGGTCTGGACTTCCAAATGCCAATTCTACATAGATCTCTGCTCAAGACTCTTACTCTGATTCTGACATAACTCTGACTCACCTCCAATAAGGACATGAAAAGATGTTCAAGATCATTAGCCATTAAGGAAACACAAATCAAAACTACAGTGAACTGTCACTTTGCACCCACTAGGATGACTAAAATCAAAAAGAAAGATAATAACAAGTACTGGCAAGGATGTGGAGAAATTGGAACTCTCATACACTGCTTGTAAGAATGTCAAATGGTGCCGCCTCTTGGAAAAAGCCTGGCAGTTCCTCAGATGGTTAAACATAGAGCCATATGACCCAGCAATTCCACTCCTACGTATATACCCAAGAGAAATGAAACATATGTCCACACAAAAACCTGTACATGAATGTTCACTGTAGTACTATTCACAATAGCCAAAAGGCAGAAACAACCCAAATTTCCCGCAAATGATGAATGGATAAACAAAATATGGAATATCTGCACAATGGAACATTATTCAGCCATAAAAAGGAATGAATGATCCATGCTACAACAGGAATGAACTTTGAAAGCATTATGCTAAGTTAAAGAAGCCAGTCACAAATGACCACACATTATATGATTACATTTATATGAAATGTCCAAAATAGGCAAATGTAGAGAAAAAGAAAGTAGATTAGTGGTTGCCTAGCACTGGGGGTGGGGAGAAAAATTGGGGACAGAAGAGTGATAGCTGAAGGGTTTCTTTTCTTCTCTTTCTTTTTCTTCTTTTTTTTTCTGAGGAAGATTAGCCCTGAGTTAACATTTGTTGCCAATCCTCCTCTTGTTTTGCTTGAGGAAGATTAGCCTGCGCTAACAACAGTGCCAATCTTCTTCCACTTTATATGTGGGTCACTCCCATAGCATGGCTGATGAGTGGTATAGGTCCATGCCCAGCAACTGAACCCACAAACCCGGGCCGCCAAAGCAGAGTGTGCCAAACTTAACCACTACGCCATGGGGGTGGCCCCAAGGGTTTCTTTTTGGGGTAATGAAATGTTCTAAAATTGATTGTGGTAATGGGTGTACAACTAAAAGCCATTGAATTGTATACTTTCAGTGAGTGAATTGTATGGTATGTGAATTATATCTCAAAAAACAAGACAAACAAAAATCTAAGTCACCATTTCAAGCTCCTATAACAGCTAATTTGAGTAAACAAGAAAACAGATTAGAGCCTCCACTCCACCACCAGGCAAACCTCTCGGAAGGCGACTGTGCTTTCCCAATAAGAATATCATTACTCAGAAGTGCTTCTTCAAATTAAAAATTAAGAAGTTTCACTTAGAACTTATTAGGTCTGATGACACAAAATCACTCTAAGCTAGGGTTTCTCAACGTCTGCACTACTTTTGGGCCAGATACTTTTTTGTTGTGGAAGCCTGTGCTGTGTTTTGTTGAATGCTTAGCAGCATCCTTGGCCTCTTCCCACTAGATACCAGTGGCACCTTCTACAGTGTGACAACCCAAAATGTCTCCAGACGTTGCCAAATGCCCCCTTGCCTGGGAGGCAAACTGCCCTCTACTGAGAACCGTTGCTCTGGCTAACGTTCCTAAACTAGGTTTTCTCTAAGCCAACAGCAGTGGTTCTCGAACTGTGTTCTGACCAGCAACATCAGCATCACCTGGGAACTCGTTAGAAAGGCAAAGACGCAGGCCCCATCCCAGAACTACAGGTCAGAACCTCTCGGGGGGGGGGGGGGGACCTGGGTTTTACCAAGTCCTCCGCGGGGTTCTGCTGCAGGCTAGAGTTTGAGAGAAAGCACCAGGCACATTTGGGAGGGACCTCCTCACCACTTCTGTTTCACGATAGAGACTACTTGTGGCAGGCTGTAAGATGCAGGTATGGCCTTTCTTCTTTCCTAACGGAACCCAGATTTCATTTAGGTGTCCACAGAGATCCCTCCATCTCAAGGAAGGTGGTGGGCCCCAGGTGTGTGTGTTGGGGGGAGGGATGGACATGTGAGACAAGTCACTCCTGCTAGGCACTTCTGGGAGAGGTGAGAACCTGAGAACCCATCTCTGTCTGCCCTGGCCACCCTCCTGCTGAGGTTGTGCTACCTGCAGCTGCAGCCACTGGCTTGTAACCAGGAGGTGAAAAACCTAAAGACGCAAACACCACCCAGCAAGCATGGCAGAGCGGAGGAAGGAAAGACCCTGGTCCTTAACGACACTGCCAAGCAGCTGAATCAGCCTCAACAATCACCGTCCCTAGATTTCTTGTTACATAAGAACAAATTTTTTGTCTAAATATATTAGATTCTCATTCTTTGTGGTCAATTATAGCCTATCTTAAAAACAGAGAAACTACTCTAAAACAAAAAACTATTCTAATTGTCTCTATACCCCCGACCCCTGAATGCCTAGAAGTTTGGATAATGCCTTTTAAACTGAAACAAAAAGCATTTAAGGAAAGAGGAATCTACTCTTTGTCACTGTCGGCACCCGAGGGCACAGTCATGGAGACCCATGATGCTGGGCAGTCTGCCCACGTCAACTGTCTGATCTCACCTGGGGCTCTGACGCTCAAACTGGAGGAAGCCCAACTACGTGAAGGGACTGACATGTGCTCCAGGCTGTTCACGAGACGTCTCATTTGATTTTACAGCAAACTCGTGGAGACGGTCTCCTCACTCTATGAGTCAGGAGATGGAGGCTGTGCAGTAGCGCTAACTCAGCGGGACGGTATTCAAACCCTCTGCCTCCCTTGACTGCCCCCGGGAGACAACCTCTAAGCCCTCGGAATAGCCTGCCTGAGAACGATGCCTTTGTATACCTGTGGCCTTGGGCCTCAACAGATATTTTATGCTAATAACATGACTTATGGTGCTTTTGTTCATGTAGGGGCCTGGGCCACACTGTATGGGTTTGACCTTTGGGGAGTTGGGGGACCGGAGACTGGGTAGCTAAGGTCAATCACTGGGGCACTCCATGTCTACGTGACTGACCCCTGGTAAAATCCCTGGATGTCAAGGCTTAGGTGAATTTCCCTGGTTGGGAATACTTTATACATGTTGTCACATATTGTTGCTGGGACAGTTAAATACTGTCTGTCCTACCCCACCGGGAGAGGACAAAGGGAAGCTTTCTTGTGTCTTGCCTCTCGTGGACTCTGCCCTATGTGCCTTTTTCCTTTGCTGATTTTAATCTGTATCCTTTCACCATAATAGACAATAAGCAGGAATATAACAGCTTTTCTGAGTTCTGTGAACCCTTTTAATGAATCACCAAACCCGACACAGAGGGAAGTTACTTCTGCAGAGAAGAATCTGACCCAGAGTCCGCGATCTTCCACTACACCCCAGTGCTAGAACACAGCAAATCCAGGCACAACAGATATTGCTCACTTCTCCTAATGACATATTTTGTTTTATACGAGAACTAGGAACCAGATGGGAGGGGAGGAGCAAAGCAGACTTATCTAGATGCTAATTCTAGTCAAACTGTTATGGAAGAACGACTCCAAGAGACTCTTACGCTCTTGTAAGTTATGTCTTACCTCTAAATGTATTTTCACAAGACTCCTCCATTTTCCAAAATAGTGCCCCTCTCTCTCCTACTTGCTGATTATACATAAAAGAATCATTTTCCAGGTTTTTCCTTTAGAAGATTAATTTATCTGTTAGCCAGAAACTACGCTGTAGGCCAGAGACATGCACACCAGGCTAGATAGAGCTTGTCAGAGTGTGGCAGTGACTGACTAGGGTTGTCCCCAGTCTATGTTCTCCGTCTTCTATCATTATAGACCCCCTGACTTTTAGCTGGGCACTTGGTTGCTCAGTATATCAACTACGTTTTCCGGCTTTCCTTGCAGCTAAATGAGGCCATGAGTAAGTTCTGGGCAAAAGAAGGTCAGTGGAAGCAGTGTGCCTTAAGGGAAAATGCAATACCCTTGCCTTCCCCTCTTTCTTCCTCCTTGTTGGCTGGAATACGGATATGGCAGCAAACCATCTTGAACTATGTGGATCAGGGCAACATGTTAAAGATGCTGGAGCAACAAGATACAAGGAGTCTAGGCTTCTGACACATTGAGCCACCATACCCATCCTGGACTGCTTATGACTGCACAGCGAGGTGAGAGAGAAACCTCTCCCCTTTTTAAGCCACTCTTATTCAGGGTCACTGCTACAGCAACTCAACCTACATCCTAACTAACAGAGTTGGTCTAGAGACCTGGTTCATAAAACTGCCTGAGACCCATTCAGTTCTGCGGCGCTTGCGGCGCCCACTACATAACGTGAGGAACATATGTTTGCAGATTGTGTTCACAGTTACCACTGCTGTGACTTCGATTCTTTACAGGGAGGTATTTCCATCTCATAAATGTTCTTGCTTTCCTTTTACTAGGAATAGCTTGTTGGAAGACGTCACCGGGTCTCAGCATCCTCTGGTCCATGGCTTTAGAAGTGTAACATCTAGCAGTGTACACACCCCCTACCTGCTGTCCCCTGGGTGTCCCAGCTATTCACAGCTACTCTGATGTTTTGATATCATTTCAAACACAGTATTTCTGGATTTTTTTTACACAGCCTGCCCTGGGATATTAAAATCTGAGTCTCTAAGCTCCCCATGCCAGGAAGCTGCCGTCTCTCTTATTCTGCCATCTAGACTATTAAAAAATAAATTTATCCTTTAAAGTAAGATGATAAATTATAGAAAATTTGGGAAACAAATCCAACTCCCTGGGACTGGCCCGGTGGCATAGTGGTTAAGTTCATGTGCTCTGCTTTGGTGGCCCGGGGTTCACCAGTTCAGATCCTGGGTGCGGACCTGCTCACTGCTTATCAAGCCATGCTGTGGCAGGCGTCCCACATATAAAATAGAGGAAGATGGGCACGGATGTTAGCTCAGTGACAATCTTCCTCAGCAAAAAGAGGAGGATTGGCAGCAGATATTAGCTCAGGGCTAATCTTCCTCAAAAAGAAAAAAAAATCCAACTCCCAATATGATCAGTATTATACAGTATTGTTACATTTCCTTCCAGTGCTTTATAAGCATCTTTTGTATAAAAATGGTCTACATTAAAATTTTTATCCAATTTTTTTTGGTAAAGAGCTGGAGACTCTATTTATTTATTTATTTTCTTATTCTCCCCAAAGCCCGCAGCACATATTTGTATATTATAGTTGTAGGTTCTTCCAGTTGAGCTATGTGGGACACCACCTCAGCATGGCTTGATGAGTGGTTCTAGGTCCGCGCCCAGGATCCGGACTGGTGAAACCCTGGGCGGCTGAAGCAGAGCGCATGAACTTAACCACTGGGCCCCGTGGCCAGCCCCCTATGTGCTTTTCATTTATGATAGCATTAGCCTTTCCCCATGCTATTATCTAGTCTACATAGCCACCATCTTTTACAGTTTCATGATGCTCCGTCAAGTGAATGCATTATACTTGACCTAACTAGCTCCTACCACTTGATATTCACGCTTCTTCCTGTCGTGTTATGCACGCTTTGAAGAGTATGTTGATGCAGTACAGCTGGTTAGAGCTTACAGCCGTGCCTTCCCATCCCTAGCTGGCTATTTGGCACACCTATCAGTTTGGTCAGAAGTTCTGTTGGCCAACTTGCCCAAAGAACACGCGGACTGTCTAAGTTTATTTTTGGCTTCGTTAACGACTAGCAGTGTGAGGCTGCACAATATTCATGTTCTAAAATTTAGGGACAACTTTTTGCTTAGGTTTAAGCAAAACCAGATGGTCTTTCTATTATTTTTATTTCAAAAAGGCAAGGAATTTGTTCCGCTGGATGGGAAAACATGGAAAAAATAAGCATTGTCTGTAAAGGTCAGGACTGGGATCAAGGAAAAAAACACAAAAATGAACCTAGAGTTTTGACAATTACTTTCATTTTCTTTCCTAAAGTTGTAGTTTTCAACTCTGGATGCACATCAGAATCACATGGGGAAGCTTTTAGACAACTATTGACCCCCAAGTCGATCCCCACAGATTCGGAATCCTTGACCCAGGGTGGGGCCCAGGCATGTGCAGCTAGAGTTAGGATCCACTGTCCTAAGGGCTGTGGGCAGATAACATGAAAAACATTCCGCCTCACTAGCCACCAAAGAAATTCACAATAAAATGACAAGTAATTTATGACTAAGTGAGCATTAAAAATCAGAGACTATGTTGAGCAAAAGAAGTCGGACACAAAAGATTACACGCAGTGTAATTCCATTTAGATGAAATTCTAGGAGAGACAGAAATCAGAGGATGTGGGAGGAGCAGGAAATACAGATTGACTCCAAAAAGGTAGGAGAGAACTACAAGGGATAATGGAAATGTTCTGTATCTTGACTGGGGTAATGGTTGTGTGGGTGTATGTATTTGTCAAAACTCATCAAATTGTGCATTTATTGTATGTAAATTATATCTCAATTAAAACAAAGAATATTGGGGAAATTTCATTAGCGCCCTCCCTCCCAATAGGAGCATCCAATGCTAATGAGGATGGGGGATAGTGCTACTCTTAGATAGTGACGCCAGGAAATTTTGGCAGGATGCTTCTGAATGTTTGTCAATACATTTTGAGATCCAGAGTTCCAGCTTTTTGACCAATAATTCCACTCCTGGGAATTTATTCTATAAAAATAATTTTTTAAATGAAAAAAATATATATCAAAATGTTTTTTTCAGTGTTATTTTGAATGAAAATATCAATCACAGAACCAGTGAGTAATTCTTAACTAAGTTAGGTCTGCGATGTGAGGTTGATTCCAGCAGGCCTGGAATTGACCTGAGCTGTTTTGCTAAAGTTCTTGCTTGCTGCAGACCGCTGGTCAAGGAATGAAATATACTGATTGAAATCATGTTGCTTTGTAACCACAGGTCCGAGGAGTTTCATGGCACTTTGCACCAGCTTGTCAGCACTGTTTGCTGATAACACGGAGACTGATGATTCGTACCTAGTCTCTTTGAGACCCCAAGAAGGCTCTGCTCGTGAGGCTGGTTACACAGCAGAAGTATGCTTCCATGACCAGCAGAATAGAAAAAAATCTCAGCCGAGATTCCATTTTTGGGATCCAGGGTTGTGAGGTGTTCAGTGCATATGGCAGTGGTTGCTGACCTGAGAGAGAAGGTGCATCCAGGGGGACAGAGGGAGGACCTCTGGGGCCCCTGCCTGACCCCTCGGGACAATCTGCTGTGAGCCAGCCATGGACTGCGATGCGTATCCTGACCCTAATTCTGTTGCGAAATTGTACCCTTCTCCTGTGATGAGCTGTACACCTGTAAGCACTGTCATGGGGTTCTGTTAGTTTCCTTTAGCAACTGAAGTGTAACTGCCACTTTCAGCACAAGGGCATGTCAACTGCATGAAATATTATGTTTTATAAAAATAAGCAAATTCAAAGACTGTAGCAACAAAGCACAATGCTTATGAGGTGATAGTAAGAGAAAGAGAAAATAAAATTTTATCTAAGCTATGATAGTAAAATCATAAAACTGTGTTCACTGAACGAGACTAGGAGTGAACATGGGAGGGATTCTGGGTAAGTTTTCTTTCATTCACAAAATTGCATTGTTGTTTCATTACTTGTGAAATGAAAAAAAAAAATCTTAACTGCCTAAAGACTAAATGCCATTTTACCTTTGGACACTGATATTTATCTGATATGTGTATACCCAGGCAGTATGGGTACCCAGGCAGTATGGCTCCAGACTCCAGACTCTGAACCACTATGCTACATTCCAGAGGAGAGGAGAGCAGGAGGATCTGGTGGATGATGAGCAGGGAGCAGAAGAAATAGCAGGAAGTTCAGGAACGCAAATTTTTATTTTTTTTGAGCACCTCCTATATACCAGGGACTATGGATAAAAAGATGAGTAAGACCATGGCCCACACCCTTGAAAAGCCTATAGTCTGGTGAGGAAGATAGGTAGTGAATCACATTATTCAAAACAACGTGGCAAGTTCTGAGATAAGTACAGGGAACCATGTCCAAAGGGTTACAGGGGCACAGAGAATGAGCACCTCACCCAACGCAGGCTGGGGAGGGGTCAAGAGAGGCTTCTTAGAGAAGGTGACTCCTAGTCTAAGATTTATGAGTTGAAATGAAGAGTTGAAATGGCGAGAGGGTGGTGCAGGCTGAGGAGAGCATGTGAGGGGAAAGAAGCCTAAAGCAAGTGAGAAGGGTATATGTGGAGAAAAGCAAGAAGTTAGACACCACCAGAACTCAGTAAATAGTAATTCCCTTCTCCCTGCCTCTCTTGGGAAGAAACTGGGACCCATGTCTCTCTAGGAAAACCCCTATAGACAGAACTTCTGGGAACAAAGGCAAACCGTGTTGGCCTCTTGAAAGGTCGCTTCAGTGGGCATCCCCTGCTGCCCTGGAGCTGGCTCAGTAAGAAGCAGCTACTCTACACGGCGTTCTGCCAAAGGGAACTTGTTTACCTCACATGCACATCAAGCTGCTTCAGAAACTGCCCGTATTCTTCACACAGAGCTTCTTTCTCTTGCTGCAACCCAGACAGCTTCTCCGACAACTCCTGGTTGCTCTTGAGATGCTGAAAAACATTTTTTTTTTTTTAATGAGAATACTCTGTGCTGAATTAAGATATGCTGTTGAGGGAATGTAAATTGGCAAAGACTTTCTGCTGAAAAAGGCTAACAGTGACCCCAGCTGCTGAAACCACAGTCACTTCCTGTGATTTCTGCACTCGCAGATTCCCTGGAAGCCAGCAGCACTTCCCCCTGCCTTTGCTCCCCCAGCCTTTCCAGTGGTTTTGCAAGCACCCAATTCCCTATATAAAAAGTCTTCCAGTTTGAAGCACATAAAGTGAAAGTACAGAAAGTGTTTTCCTGACCTAACCCTGACTAATAAAGTATTTGGTTCTAGAAGTAGATCCAGTGAACAGATCCTCAAAGATGGGAATCTGGAATTGGTTATCTGACCTGGTTAGATTTAAAGGCAGTGTGATCTTGTCACTAGTACTATAATCCATGACACAAGCATTGACTAAATTATAACTTATAGTTGCCCGTGATGAAGTGCTTTGGGAGACCACATGATTGCTGCAAACAATGTTATAACAGAATTGAAAACTATAAGGAATGTGGGGTGGGCTAGCCACATCTGACCGTGTTAATGAGCTTACGAGGAGAAAATGTTCAACTTGGGGATTTATTTAATGGAACAAGGCATAGTCAGAGACCCAGAGAGTTTCTATGAGTGCCCTGAAAGAAACTCTTCCCTCTTGTAGGCAGCAGGTCAACGTATTCAAAAACTAAATCCCAAATTTCATCAAATAGGTTGCACAATTAAAACACAAGTTGATTTCATAGCCTTGCCAGGTCTCTTATGTGAAAAATAACGCTTTGTTTGGGAATGCATGGAATCTGAGAATTGGAACTGAGTACATCTGCCAGGATTCCCAAGACTTTGGGTACTCTGGACCTCCAAACTCTAACGAGCCTCTCCTATCAGCATAAGATATTCCTCTGCTGTCTCAAGAGATTAACGGTTCTTGCCTGAGGACTGTGTATTGCCTTCACTTGGGCAGTTATCCTGTAAGAGGATACTCATTGTTCTCAAGACCCCTACACTACTAATTCTCATCCAATCCTATAACTAGAGTCAGATGCCAGCACATCCTGGGGAGCGAGGGTTGAGTATAGGGACTGCCATATTGAAAGAATGAAAAGACTCTGCCAACTTAAATTGACCGAAACCTGAGGAATATATGTAAAAATGTATTCGTAGGCATTACGCTACGAAGAAAGGAATATAATATTGAATAGGCTGAAGGTATTGATATGGATGCACTTACCAGAGCTTCAGGATTTAATGTGTTAACTTGAACCTTTAAAGTGACTTCAATTATTTGCTTGGTTGGTTGACTGCAATTTAGACTCAACGATAGCCTACATTAAATGACATTAAGATGCCATACTTCCTTGACATGAGAGAGAGGAAGGAATCCAAAGGCTTAAGCAGATAGGAAATTTGGGGTAGATTTATCAGTGGTAACCTGCTCACCCACCTCATCACAGTGACTCACACATCACTCAGAAGACACTCTCTTCACCAAAGCTTTGCCAAATACACTGGAGAAAAGGGCACCAGGTTTTTCAAAATCCTCTATAATGCTATCCTATTAAGCATGATGGTGGGAGGTGCCAACATTAAAATAGATCCCTGATTTTATTGGGGATGATGATACTACAGAGTGTCAGAGGTCAAGTGGCAATCTTTGGTTGTGGTTAATTGATCACCATGATTGTAGGACTAAAATAGATGAGCAATCTATCAAAGTCTTACTTGAATTGTATTTTTTTAAATAAATAAATAAAACCCCCTGGGTCTGGTGAACAGAGGCTCAATTTGAACGACAACAGTGGAGAGTATTGGCCTCTTAATCCCCAGACCTGAGCCAGTTCAGAGACCCAGAGTCCTTTGAATGATGGGAATGCCAGGTTGTCTTCAGGAAAAACCCTGAGACACTGCCATAAGTAAGTGATCTCTCAAGTCTTCTTCAAAGAGATCCGTGGCTTTTCATCAAGGTGACAGGGCATTGGAGAAAGGGAATTATATAGACTTTTGGGGAATTATAGCACAGTGGTTCTGAGTCAACGCTAATATGTTGGAACCCAAAATGCCACTGAGGTTCACAGTTCAGAGGGGGGCTTAAAGGAGTAAGGTGAAACATGGAGCTTAAACTCACAGTGTATCTTAGAGTCTGTCTGCAGTGATTCATTGCCTCAGCATATGTTTTACAGTTGGCCTAGGCGGGTTGTGAATCCCGCCAAGGGTTATTTCCCCAGTTCTTGAATGTATGCTCAGAATAGACCATCTGGAATGGCAGATTCTCCCCACTGGCTTTCCGACCTGAGGAGAGAGGGCTACTGATGATAGAAAAGGCCAAGTGCTTGGAGTGCCTCTTCAGATTCTAGAACGAACATATACCACAACTGCTCCTTCAACCTATTTATCAAGTAACCTTCAAGGTTGTAAGTTTTTAGTGGTGCCCAAAGCAAGACAAAGATCTGCAGCTGTGCCAGGCTGCAGTGCAAACTCCTTCGCCACTTGGGCTAAATTTACGACCCAGCAGATCCAAAGATGCTCCAAGTTTTGGTGGTGGATGAGGATGCTATGTGGAGCCTCTGGCAAGCTTTAGTAAGATAATTTAACCTTAGGATTTATGAGAGAAGCAACCCCTCCTCCCATAATAACTATCCACTTTTTGAGGAAGGTCCTTGCTTGTGACTGGGCCCTGGTGGAGCCTGAATACTTGGCCATGAAAAATCAAGTGATCAAGTAACCTGAGCTGCCCTTCCTGAAACTGGGTGTTATATGATTCACCAAGCCATTAAGTTGAGCACATACAGCAGTATTCCACCTTCGAGTGGAAGTGCTGTGTAGGATACTGAGCCTGAGCAGGTCCTAGAGGCACACAGTTGCATGAGCAAGTGGTACTTCCTTCTATTGCATGACCATCTCTCTCAACCGAAACATATGGCCTCATGGGGAGTGACCCTATGAGGGTGAGGGTCACTGGTCCTTATGACAAGTGAACTGAGAAAGAATATATTTAGGCCTGATTTACATATGGTCCTGAACAATATGCTGCAACCACTTGAAACAGGGCTGCCGCAGCATTACAGCCCTACTGCGGGGAGGCCCTTAAGAACAGCAGGAAGGGCAATCTCAGTGGGCAAAGCTTGCGTTCACTTTGCCTGGAAAGAGAGACGGCCAGAGGCATGGACCTAAATTAATTCATAGAAAGTTTCTAATAGTTTGGCCAGACGGTCAGGAATCTGGAAAGAATAACATTGGAGGACTGGTGAGAATGAGTTCTGGGAAACGGGCCTAGGCTAGAAATGCCGTCCAACAGAATTTTTTGCAATGATGGAAATATTCTATATCTGCACCCTCCAAGATGGTAGTCACTAGCCATGTGTAGCTATTGAGCACCTGAAATATGGCCAGTGTGTCTGAGGAACTGAATTTTAAATTTTATTTAATTTTAATTAATTTAAATTTATATAGCCACCTGTGGCTAATTGCCACAATATGGATGGCAGAGGCCTAGAGTGTGAAAATATCTGTGTTTCATGTATTTTTGCTTAGCAGAGGGCATCCACAGGAGAGGTGGCTCTCAATTATCAGGTGGAAAGAAGAGTCCATTCTGTAGATGTCACTTAGCCTCTTTTTCCAGCACCTATTCACTTGTTCAATGGGCTCATGGACAAAGTGTACAGTGGCAGGAATATGTTTTACAAAGGGTCACCAAGGCTAATCCACTCAACCTGACAAAAGCAAAGACCAACACTGAGCAACTGTTATGGCCCCATCCACTGGGGCTTTATTACATGCAGGCTTATCACACTGGGCCCCCTTCCATCACGGACAGAACTACAGTTTGTCCTTAGTGGAGTAGATACTTTTTTTAGATACAGATTTGCTTTCTCTGTACATAATGCTTTTGCCAGGACCACTATCTGTGGACTTACCAAATTCCTTATTTCTTATCATGATATACTACTCAACATTGCTTCTGAACAAGAAAAGCTTTTTACAGTAAGAGAAGTGAAACAAAGGCTTATAAGTATGAGAGTCATTGGTCTCACCATACAGCTCATCATCCAGAAAAAACTAACCAGACAAAACAGTGGAAAGACCTATGGAAGATGTAGTTATGATGCTGGCTAGGTGACAACATCTTTTGGGGTTAGATGATGTCCTGTAAGATGATGTATAAAGATTTTTTTTTTCCCTAGGAAGATTAGCCCTAATATCTGCTACCAATCCTCCTCTTTTTGCTGAGGAAGACTGGCCCTGAGCTAACATCATGCCCATCTTCCTCTACTTTATATGTGGGATGCCTACCACAGCATGGCTTTTACCAAGCACTGCCATGTCCACACCCGGGATCCAAACCAGCGGACCCTGGGATGCCAAAGTGGAACGTGCACACGTAACCGCTGTGCCACTGGGCCGGCCATCAGGATGTATAAACTTTTAACCAGTGATTACTATATGATGCTCTTAGGGGCCAGCTGGTGGCACAGTGGTTAAGTTCGCACGTTCTGCTTCAGCGGCCCAGAGTTCGCCGGTTCAGATCACGGGTGCGGACACGGTGCCACTTGGCAAGCCATGCTGTGGTAGGCGTCCCACATATAAAGCAGAGGAAGATGGGCATGGATGTTAGCCCAGGGCCAGTCTTCCTCAGGGCCAGTATTCCTCAGCAAAAAGAAGAGGATTGGCAGCAGGTGTTAGCTCAGAGCTAATCTTCCTTGGGGAAAAAAAAAAAAATATATATATATATATATATATATGTATATATATATATATATGATGCTCTTTCTCTCATAGCCAGAATACATGGGAAGGGACCAAGAGATGGAAGTGGCTTCTCACACCAATACTCCACTGGCAAAATGCATGTTATTGTATTATTGGTAGTTAACTTTATAAATAAGTTTTAAAGTTATGGTATATCCCTGTGGATTGAAACCGAAGAAGTGGAAATTAACATTACCCCAAAATGATCACAGATACTGATAGGACCTTTGAGAGGTTAAGAGTGTCTTCATTTACATGAGTGATAATGCATCGTATAGGTAGAAGCATAATATCCTTCTTGTTTATTAGGTTAAATACGGGTAAAAGGTTTTGTACAGATGCTGACTATTCAAAGTAGACTGCACTGCTGCTCAACAGGGTCCTCATTTTTCCAAGCTCTCCCTTTGCTGCAAGGTTGGAAGTTTGGAAGCTACATTTCCCAGACTCCCTTAACAGCGGAGTTCCAGTGTAGTTTCTGCAAATGAGAGGCACTTGCACAAGATTTGGAAAGCACTGGTGGGAGGACAAGCCATTGTTCTTCTCTGACACTAGCAGGTAGAAGAATGAGCAGACAGCAGATGAGACCTTTGTAGGGGCTTCAGGGAGACTTCCTGCAAGTCCCCTACTTAGGTGCTACAGGAGTTGGCTTTCTGAACTCCCGGATGTATTGAAAGCCAGCAACAGTCCTTCCTGACCTTCTACTCAGCCTTCCCGCTCCCTTCCAACAGTGTTGTAAGCATGTTATTCTCCGTGTTAAATCCCTTCTCACCTGAAATACCTAGAGTAGATTCTGCTTTCCTGATTGAACCCTGACCACACCTAATGGGTAAAATGCTAGGCACTCAATAATTATTAGCTATTATCAGCTGTTACTCAGGGCTACGGGAATGGCAAAACAGAGAAGCATATATATTTACTTTCTTACCTCATCAGATTTTCTGTTTTCATTTTCCAATTGTTTAAGTTGGGTCTCTTGTTGCTGAATTCTGATTTGTTGCTGAGAACTGGTCATTTCCAGTTGATTCTCTTTATCCTGTAAGAGTTTCACTTGCTTTTGTAGCTCACTTATATTCTGATCCAGGAGTTTCCTGAGGGCAATCAAAGTAGTTAATTCACACTGTGAACTGCAAAGCTTTGCAAATGAAAATCTTTGACCTAAAACTGTTATACCATCACAGGCGATTTTTTTGGTTCAGTAAGGTGGGGCATGTGTCTGGAAGATAAAGGGACCAACACAAGGAAGCTCCTTTGTGACAGAAGCTTTTCTTAGTTCTCTCTCTCACTCCTCAAAACAACCCTACAGAGAAGAAGAAGTAATTTTCCTTGTTTCAGAAAGGAAGCTGTGGTATAGAGAGGTTTAATTAACGTGCTCAAGGTCACACAGCTAGGACAAGATGGAGGTAGGGTTCTGATCCTGAATCCCATATTCTTTCTACTCTTCTCACTGCTTTACAAGTTGAATCCCTCCATCTTCTTGGTTCAATATAGTGTTGGTTACAAACACTATTGATACTAATGCACTCATGTTGACACTACTGCAGCTGAATCATGAATGAGCCTGTGTTTGATGAGGAAATTCACCCTTTTCCAAAAGAGCCATAAGTACTTAACTCTTTCCAAGGGAGTCTATCAGATTACACTTTGTGGAAAGAATTTTTGAGGATTTCAGACAAGGTTCTTTGGACTTAGGAAAGTCATGTAGAAAAAGAAGAAGATGATGATGATGATGATGATGATGATGAAATGGCACTGGTGAGCACAATTCTCACCTACGTGCTAGGTCACGCAAATACTGTATTGGACAAATGAATTTGCTTTCTCTAACTTCAGTTTTCTCAGAAATCAATGGATTATTGGGAAAGATTTATATTTGAGACATGGGGCTCATATCTCTCAACCTCTAGTTCTTCTCATGCTTCTGGATGTAAGTGCAGGCTCTCCACGGATGGTTGTAGCTTACCTTCTACCATTCACATTGACAACAGATTTTCACATATTCAGGAATATGGGGTAGCTGTTCTGCTTCAAAACTGATTCGGCTTGAACTAAAGAAGCCTGACTTATGGCCTATCAAACATACATTTTACTTCTGCTTAACCATTAAAGTAAAGAGTGCATTAAACATAATCTCAAAGTAAAAGAATGCACTCTTTTAAGACAATGCATTCTTCCCCTCCTATGACGCCAGTTCTCGGTAACGCCCTATTGGTAATACTAGTATTCCTGAGGATAAATTCCCTTTCTCTGACATCAGGGGCCTGTTGACCTTGCAACTGAATACCTCTTTGAAACTTTGATGACTACGTATCCTGGAAGTGTTTAATGTACTTTCTTTGTTCTAAAAAGCTGTAAAACTGTACTGAAAACCATGCTACTCTAGAACGCTGTCTTCCTTTGTGGAAACTGCCTTCCTAGATTATAGTCATCACCTTGGCTCAAGTAAAACTCAACTTCTCTCTCTTATCTATAGAATGTTTATTCGTTATTTTGTGGCTACAACATGCTCCCTTTCAGCTGTTTCACCTAATTGATTATACACCTGAGCAATGCCCTGCTATTCCTGTCTACTTCTTCTTTTTTGGTTCCATTCTGAATTTCTGATCAAGAGACGGGACTAAGAGATAAGTTTTGGAGCTGACAGGGAAATTTTAATCTACTAGAACTAAAAACCCTTGAGTTATCTGCAGTAGAACTTAAGAGCTAGAAACTGGTGTTGAAAAGTAGCAAGTCAAACTTTAAAAGCAACGCATGAACATCTTAGAAATTAATTCCTATATTATATAGAGAATTTGAACAATGAAAGGGTAACAAACCAGTTCTGCCAATGTATAAAATTATAAAATTGACAGATTGATGAGACTCCCTCTCTCCCCAGTAGCCTTAACCTCTCTTTCAATTCTTCGTTTACAAAACAACCAGCGTGCTCTTTCTAAATCACAATCTGATCACACCACTCCCTCTGCTGAAACTCCTCAGTGGTTCCCCATTACTCTTAAGAGAAAGTCCAACCTCTTTAGTATGGCTTGTTAGCTAGCTTACCTATCTAGCCTCATTTTCTTGCCACTCCCTCTATCCAAAACATTTTGCTCCAGGAAAAATGAACTCTTTTCACTTTCTGAAACAAATCACCCTCCACACTTATTCCTCCCCTGCAACTCCAGCTTTTTCCCCTATCTTTCTCTTCCAGGTCTTCCTTTGCCTAATAGTCTCTACTTAGCTTTCCCATGCCAACTACTTCGCTTGCAGTTTAAGTAGCTTTCTTTGAGGAAGGCTTTCTTGAGCTCCCTGGAATAGATTAGGTGTTCCTGCCATGTGCTATCACAGCATCCTAAACCTCCCTCAGCATAATGCTTACCATACTTCATTGCAGTGGCAAAGTCTTATGTATGGGGACATTCATTGCAGCGTTATTTATAACAGCAAAAAAAGTCTAAAAAGTATTTTACATAAATCATGATATATCTGTGGGCCAGAGTGCTATACAACTGTTTAAAATAATATTACGAAACTATAAATTAATAACAGAATGATAGATGGACAATCCCCAAATATTTGGAGATTAGATGAACACACTTCTAAATAATACATGGATCAAAGAAGTCTCAAAAGAAATTTTAGAAATATTTTGAATTACATGATTTCACATGAAAATAAAAATACAACTTATAAAAGTTATGGGATGCAGGAAAAGTGCTAGAGAGAAACATAGCTTTAAAAGCAAATATTATAAAAGAAGAAAGATCAAAAATCAATTATCTAAGCTTCCACCTTATGAAACTAGAAAAAGAAGACCAATATGAGCCTAAACAAAGCAGAAAAAAAGAAATAATAAAAATTAGAGCAGAAAGCAATGAAATTGAAAACAGGAAAACAATACAGAAAAACAGTGAAACCAAAGCTGGGTCTTTGAAAAGATCAACAAAATTGATAAACTCTAGCCAGACTAAATGATGAGGATCAAGGTTGCCCCAGGGAGAAACGCTCAAGGCATCCTGGCCTACATAGTGATCTATATCATCCTCTGGGAATCATAGGATTTTCTGACCAGATCAGATCTGATTCTTATCTAAAGTTATAGGACCACCCAATAACAAGACCCCACCTACACTGATACCATTTTAACAACTTTTTACATAATCTTTCCTTTGTCTTGTAAAGAGCTAACTCACATACCTATGCCTTATAAATTTAGCCCTAACCTCAACCCAGGTTTGCAGCTCTTCACTGCCCATGGGTCCTGTCCCCATGCCAGCAGTTCTTTGCTGCCCATGGGTCCTGTCCCCATGCCAACAGCTCTTCGCTGCCCATGGGTCCTGTCCTCATGCTATTCTCTGAATAAAGGAGCACTACTACCAGACCTTGAGAGTCCAAGAAATCTTTCTTTCAGCTCCTTGACTCGCCAAGCCCGCATCAGAGCCTACACCATTTCTTCTGGTGGCCCATACGCGGATCTTGCTTCACTGGCCTGTGAGCTTAAGTTCTGGTGTTCTTTTTCTTTGTGCCTCCCTCTTTTTCAAGGATGGATCTAAATTCACTTCTCCATCAGGAACCTTCTCAGACAGCTGTAGGAATCCACATTTGCTGCCCATGGTAATCTATGGGGCAAATAATGGCATTCAGCCTTAAGAGAATCAGTACCTTAAGCCTGAGGGTGATGAAGAATGAATTAATCCATTCCTTCCTCATGCCATGTCTAGTGCTGGTGGACCACTTAAGTCATTAGCATGGTCACCAATCTCCAAGACTCCCTGGCAGGTTCCTTTTCCTAAGGCTGGATTAGTATCCCTCCCTAGGGTTCCTGACCACAGTCCAAACCGTGGGAAAGTCCCAATCAGGACTCCAGTTCAAGGAAAGTACCAAACTCTAACATTGGGTTGAATATGGCAACCCATTCTTGGGAGAACGGCTCCAGGATGTAATTGAGTAGAATGTCCCAGAGACCGGTGGAAAATTCTTCACTGTTTTTCTCTATTCTTTCATCTCTTGGACGATTCACCAGGCACCTATTACTGCCAGGCACAATAGGGAAGGTATACAAGGGATGCAATGCAGGGGGATGCCCCCATCACCCCTTGCTATAGGAACCCCACAGGTGGAACAACAGGTAGGACACTGCCCTAGGTTCAGGGGGGATTTTCAAGGTAATGGACCCTTTCCTTTCATCTCTTAAAGTTACAGTGGCCATTTTGGGCTCCTTCCGAACTTTGCAAGTGAGAAACAAAGAAATCTTTAAAGAGTCAAAGGCTCCACCCCTGGGAGCCCCCCAACTCTGGTTTCCAGGCCCAATCATGCCAGCAACCCCAAGTTGGGTGCCCTCTCTTGGCAGTTGACTCGTTGAGTATTTTAGTCACCTATTGAGTCAGTTATGAGGATAGGAGACCCGTGATTTATTCTGTGAACTGTCCTGCTGGGGTTGTGTGCTCTTGCACTGAACTGTCTGTGACCCTTATCTTGATAACCATAGGGAAGAGGCCATGAGGGTGAGGCCTGATCTCTTCTTTTCCTTTCTTTGTCTGTTTCATTCCGTCACCAGCTCTGTTGTCACCAAGTCAAGTTTAAGTTCAGGCTGGACCTGAGCTGAACCTGGACGTTCCGTAAAATAGAAAACTTAACACTTTTGCCAGGGACTTAACTCTCAACCCTGGCACTGGGAGCGCCAGTCCCCGCCCAGCTCCAGGCCTTTGCCTCCTGTTTCCCTGTCTCGACTTGTGCTGGCTCAGGGACTAAGTGCCCAGGCTGAGTGGGACTTGACTAAATCTTATAATAATACTGACACCCACAGTTGGGCTCTGCACCCTTTCTCCAGCCGCAGTCAGTTAGACACCGGCTTTACTGCCATGGGGAACGCCCCAAGCATCCCCAGAGACTCACCCCTTAGGTGCATTTTAATTAACTGGAAACACTTCCAATTGGAGGGTTATGCCCCAGAAACTGCATCTTAGAGAAAACTTGAGGGGTTTCTCTGTGCCTTTGTGATGTAGTTGGACAGGTAGATCAACCTAGAATGTCATTTGAGTTACAACCCAGTATCTGAAAAGTCAAGAGCAACTGTCCTTGGAACATCCTTGTAAGGCTGGAAAAGCAGCTC